ACATCGTCCTATGGGATCTTAGGAGAAAAGCGAATTAAGTCAGTTTCTGCACCTTCAGCGTCTTTTTTGCCGAGTAGGACCAAAAGCAAACTTTCAATTTTGTGCACCGAAAAAGCTGCCTTCTTGCCTGAAGCCCGACTTGCTTATTTTTACATAGAAGCTCTAGTTCTAATTGCAAAAATTGCTTTTTTAATTGGTGTTTTATGTTTTTCCAAATTTTTCATTTTTTAATGAAAATATTCTGAGTTACGTATTTTTGCCTCGTCGCGAAGGAAAAACTGAAATAAATGAAAGAGATCTGTATCTCCAATTGAATTCGAGGAAATAAATTTAATTGAAAAGGAGCAAGATGCAATAGATCAAACGCTGTCATGCAAGATCTAGGAGTATTTTTATTACCTTCTACGAAATAAAGAAGTATTGTAATCCCGAAAAATTCCGGGCTTGAACGAAAATATCCAATTTGACCGCTATCGAATGTAGCTGATCTCACTCAATCAACCGCAACATTAGATCAGGACCATGGACCAACGATGTTTACGATGTTTCTGCGTGACGTCTGTGTTCGCGCCTTATGTAAATTTTGATTTTGTTCCCTGCAAGAGGGCGCCTGCGAGCGCCGAACTACTTGTATATCTATTGTACGAACTTGTTCTTCACACAGTCTAATAAACGTAGTAACGAACGTTTGAGTCTACTTTCCATCCGCTAACATGGTCCGTCGTGAGCCAGCGCATTTCTTTGGATGATGTGTCAAGACAATTTTTAACGTTCTGGTATAGAAGGACATTTCGTGCAGGAAAACGGATTTATATTTTGTCTGGATTGTGAAAACAGCGGCAGGAATATGGAGTCAATTTTAAAGCAAAAGCGTATCATTAAGGGTAAGTTGACTCGTTTAATTTCACAAATAAATAGTTTACAAAATCAAGAAAATTCTTTTTTCTGCCATTGAAGTGTACGAAAATGATGTTAGTGCATTAAGTGTTGAAGTGAACTGTTTAAACGATAACATTCTTGGTACTTGTTCTGACGCAGAGTTTAGTAAATTAAATATGAAATAGAAATGAATGAATTATTTTCCAAATTAGATGCATTAAAAATTACTTTAAAGGAAGAATCAAGAAAACTTAGAAATTCAGGCAAAGATATAATAAATGCTAATGCAAACGGCTTGAAACTTCCTCGCGTGGAATTGCCAGTGTTTACTTCTAATTATGTTGATTGGATATCATTCAGGGATTTATTTCTTGCCAGTGTTGGAAATAATAGTACATTAAGTGACAGTCAAAAATTGCAATATCTTAAGCTTTCTGTGAAAGGTGAAGCTGCTGTTTTACTACAGTCAGTTCAAATTTCAAACGCGAATTATGAAAAGGCATGGGAAGCGCTTACTGAGCGTTATGAAAACGAAATGGAAATAATAAACGCAGCATTAAATAAATTAACTTCACAACCTGTTCTAAAACATGAATCAGCTTCAGGTTTGCGGAGATTAATTGATACAACACAACAGTGTATTGATACATTAAAAATCCTTAAACAGCCGGTAGAGCATTGGGATAGTATGATTATTTTTCTGTTAAAAGGAAAACTTGATCATGAAACACTAAAAGAGTGGACGATAGAGCATTCGAACAAGAAAATTTCTGCTTTCGCTGAATTCAAGCGTTTTATTTTAAACAGAGCGAATGCTGTTGCCTCTTTGGCGAGGTGCCAGAGGGAGAAGTCAATTTTGCCTTCTGAAATTAAAACTCGCGGTTCAGGTAGCAGATACGCTTTTTCGTCCCAACTTGTGGCTAATGTGTGCGTTCATTGTAAGAGTAATTCTCATTCTAAGTTATTTAAATGTGATAGTTTTTTTAGAACTCCCTATCAAAGAAAAATGGGATATTATTAAAAGGAATAAATTATGTGCTAATTGTTTGAAAGATAGTAAAACGCATCCCATTTTTAAATGTCGTGCAGGAATGTGTAAATATTGTTCAAAGCCACATAATACAGTGTTATGTTCGAAAAATTCAAATGATGAAAAATGTCATATACCCATGGAACACGGAACTTCTGCTATTAGTAGCAATAACGCCACGGTGCCTGTTGCGCAAGCAGTTTTATTGCCTACTGCGGTTGTTTATGTTAAAGATATTAATGGCGATTTACAAAAATGCAGGATGCTAATTGATTCAGGTAGCCAGGGCTCATTTATTCGGGAGCACTGTGTAAATTTACTGCAGTTAAAGCGCACTAGTGCAAACGTAAGTGTAAATGGCCTGAGCTCGCAAAAAATTGGAAAGGTTTCAGGTTCAGTTCAATTACAAGTAACATCTCCATTTTATAAAAACGCAAGCATTTCAGTTAATGCATTAATTATACCCAAGATCACGTGTGACCTTCCTCAATATCAAGTTGATAGATCTGTTTTGACATCTTTCAAACATTTGTGGTTGGCAGATACAAATTGTTTCCAGCCTGGCCCAATAGATATTCTTTTGGGCGCAGATGTATTTGGCGAGATAATGCTTCATGGACGTTTAACTGTTCCGGGTCATTCCTTAACAGCCTTGGAATCAATATTCGGCTGGGTCATTATCGGAAAGACTAAAAGTGTATCGCAGACAATTGTATCGAATCATGCTAGTTGTACCAATGTTCAGCTCCAGCTTGAAAAATTTTGGAAATTGGAAGAAATTTCGGAGATAAAGCATTACACAGAATAGGAAATTGAATGTGAAAATCATTTCAAGCGGAATTTTTCTCGTGATTCAACAGGTAGATTTGTTGTTAAGTTTCCATTTCGTAGATCGGGAAATGAACTTGTGTCATCAAGGGATGTTGCTGTACATCGTTTACAAAGCATTGAACGTCAATTTATTAAGAATAAATCTCTTTCCAGTCAATATCACAAATTTATGGAGGACTATCAACAACTTGGTCATATGGAATTGATTCCAGAAAATGAAATTGATATTCCAGCTAATTCTAGTTTTTACCTTCTGCACCATTCAGTTCCAGATAAAAATGGTGATAAATTTCGAGTCGTATTTGATGGTTCTGCAAAATCTTCTAGCGGTATTTCTCTTAATGAGAAATTGATGGTTGGTCCACAGTTGCAGACTGATCTGACAACATTAATTATTCGTTTCAGAATTCACAGAACAGCTATAACTGCAGATATAGAGAAAATGTACAGACAAATTATACTAAAAGATGCAGACTTTCAGAGATTAGTCTGGCGCGATTCACTTTATAAACCAATTCAGGATTTTCGATTAACTAGGATTGCTTACGGTACTGCATCAGCTTCGTACCTTGCGGTAAGATGTTTACAGCAGTTAGCCATAGATGAAGCAACTAGTTTTCCTTTGGCTTCCAAGACATGTCTTAGGGACTTCTACGTTGATGATTTGATGTCCGGAGCTAATTCAGTTACTGAAGCTATAGAATTACAAATGCAATTGAATCAGATGTTGTCACGTGCAGGATTTATTCTAAGAAAATGGGCTTCTAACAGCAAAGAAGTCTTGAATTCAATTAATCCAGATTTGTGCTTATCAAATGTTTCTTTGAACATAGACAATGATGATACTGTAAAAACGTTAGGTATCCTGTGGCATCCAGCTTCAGATATGTTTTTATTCAAAGTCAATTCATCATATCCTGAAGTCTTAACCAAACGAACATTACTTTCAATAATCGCAAAGACCTTTGACCCTCTTGGATGGTTGGCACCGATCACGGTTCGGTATAAATTGATTATGCAAAGATTGTGGAAACATCAGTTTCAGTGGTATGAAAAGGTTCCTCCAGATATTGAATGTGAGTGGAAACAACTTACAGAAGATTTGTTATTCATTAAAAGTATCAAAATTTCACGATTCTTGTTGATTGAATCAGATAACCAGTTTTAACTGCACGGGTTTTCTGACGCCTCAGAGAAGGCCTACGCCGCTGCAATTTATTATCGTTCTGTGCTAGATGCTGGACAAATTAATGTTCAGTTAGTGATAGCCAAAACAAGAGTTGCACCACTAAAAACCATATCACTTCCCCGATTGGAACTTTTGTGGAGCATTACTGTTGACTAAATTAATGGATTTCACCTGTAGGGCTTTAAATACTCCTATATCGCAAATTTATTTTCATACTGATTCCACTATTGTATTAGCCTGGATAAGATCTCATGCAAGCCGATGGAAGACCTTCGTCGCCAACAGAGTAGCAAAAATCCAGACTTTATCCTCTCCTGTCCAGTGGCATCATGTGAGTGGAAATGCTAATCCTGCTGATCTTGCAACTCGTGGTGTGTCATCATACGCACTGGTTGCTTCATTGTGGTTGCGTAATCCAGATTTATTGCATGATTTATTTCCTTTTCAGCCAGCATCATCTGCACCACTACTGAATGATTCTGTGTCCGAGCAAAGATGGACTTTACAGTCAACAACTGCTGTCAGTCACTTGAAGACGTTCATGATTTATTTTATAAATATTCCTCTCTCACCAAACTTAAACGTGTTATAGCATTATGTCTGAGGTTTGTAAATAACTATAGAAATTCAGGAGAGGATCAGGTAAATGGATTTTTAAAAACTAGTGAGTTAACTAAAGCTATGCATGTGTTAATTAAAATAGTTCAATATGTTGAATTTAAGAATGAAATCAGCCCTTTAAACAGAAAACAATCATTATCCTGTACAAGCAAAATTTTATCTTTAAATTCATTTTTAGATAATTCAGGTATTCTCAGGGTGGGCGGTCGCTTGCGACAGGCAAACCTTGCATATGGTTTTAAGCATCCCATTTTGCTGCCAAAAAGGCACATTATAACTCATCTCCAGTCGTAGACATTACCATGAAAGACTTTTGCATGCAGGTCCACAACTTATGCAATCTTGCATTCAAGAACAATATTGGATCATAAATGGTAGAGCTGTTATCAGAGATTAGTTAGGAAATGTATAAGGTGTTGCAAAATTAGAGCATCTGTCATTAATCAATTGATGAGCGATTTGCCGTCTAGTCGCGTTTCGCCTGCTCCTGCGTTTTTGCGCTGTGGAGTGGATTACGCAGGTCCTTTTCAAATTAAAGCAAATAAGGGTCGAGGCTCTAAGTCATTCAAGGCATATATAGCTCTATTTGTTTGTTTTACGACAAGAGCTATTCACCTAGAATTAGTGACTGATCTTTCAGCAGATGCTTTTATTGCAGCTCTTAAGAGGTTCATTTCCCGCAGAGGCAAAAGCAGTGATATATATAGCGATTGTGGTTCCAATTTTGTTGGAGCAAAACGCAAACTGATGGAATTTGAAAGGCTTGCTAGGTCTGCAACTTATAACCAAAATGTTAGCAGATATTTGGTTGATAATGGCATTAAATGGCATCTAAACGTTCCAGGTGCGCCACATATGGGTGGACTCTGGGAAGCTGGCATAAAATCAACAAAATACCATTTAAAACGAGTAGTTGGTGAGGCGAGATTAACATATGAAGAATTTGAAACATATCTCACACAAATAGAAGCTTGTCTTAATTCGCGACCTTTAACAAGTTTGTCTAATGATCCGAATGACTTGTCAGCATTAACGCCTGGTCATTTTTCTTATTGGTAGATCATTAACAAGCATTCCTGAACCAAATTACATTGAAGTTTCCCATCTCACCAGATGGCAACATATTCAAAAAATGGTTCAACAATTTTGGAAACGTTGGCACAAAGAATATCTGTGTCGATTACAACAAAGACCAAAATGGCTTTTGCCAACTAAAAATCTTCAAGTTAATGATCTGTGTCTCATAAAGGAGGATAACTTACCTCCAACTAAATGGAAAATGGGTAGAATTACTCAGTTACATCCTGGTCTTGATAATATTGTTAGGGTTGTGACTATTAAGACTTCAGATGGCATGGTTAAAAGAAATATTACAAAATTGTGTCCATTACCAATTTGAGTTTTAATTCATGTATTATAAATTAAGTATTATATCATAATTTTAATATTGTATTGTGTTTTAAATTTACTGAAATTTAACCACTAAATGTTGAAATAGTATTTCAAGGTGGGCGGCATGTTCGCGCCTTATGTAAATTTTGATTTTGTTCCCTGCAAGAGGGCGCCTGCGAGCGCCGAATTACTTGTATATCTATTGTACGAACTTGTTCTTCACACAGTCTAATAAACGCAGTAACGAACGTTTGAGTCTACTTTCCATCCGCTAACAGTCTGTACGCAAGGACAAAATAAAGGATTCCTTTTCCTCAAACGGATTATAAATTTGATTTAAAATAGGTTCAGAAGAGATATTTTAGTGACGTCTGTACGTACGTACGTATGGATGTATGTATGTATCTCGCACAGCTCGAAAACGGGTAGCCTCAGAACGTTGAAATTTGTATATACGACTGCTATAACATGCACTTGTGCACCTCTCTTTTTGGTTGCAATCGGAAACACCAAATATATATAAACACATCCACTCTATTACACGGTTCGATAAGTTCAGTTTTTTATTCTTTTATACTAGTATATTGTGAATTTTTTTCTTTAGAAATGATTGAAATATGTTGCTCTTATCTTTCGGTTAAAGATTTTATGCCTTTACGTAATAATGCAATAGTTGTAGAATTATCAATAGTTTAAAAGTTGCTTAAGTGCGGCTAAACCTATTTTTTTACCATAGCAGCCATGTTTATTTACATTTGAAACTTAGCAGAATAAGTCAGTAAGCTTCTACACCTTCAGTGTCTTTTTGCCAAGCGGGAACAAAAGTAAACTTTCAGTTTTGTGCATCGAAAAATCTGCCTCCTTGCGAGCTGGACCTATTGCTTGTTTTTGCGTGGAAACTCTAATTTAATTGTAAAAATTGCTTTTTAAATCGTCTTAACTGTATTTGGTGTTTTATGCTTTTCTATACTTTTCAAAATTTAATGAAGATATTTTAGGTGTTACCGCCTTGTGAGAATTGAATTAATTGAATAAGAAATATATCTGTAATGAAATTCGAGGAAATTAGTTTAAATGAAGTGCAGGATTTAATGCGTATAATTTAATATTCCGTACAAAGAAATCATGTAATGTCCGCATCAGATTTCTGTGAAAAGCTACCAACTACTCTATAAGACGAGTACTTTTGCTTCTCTTGAAGCAATTGTATTATTGAATACTCTTGGAGTGGTTTCAATCAGATAAAATGGAGCAAAATAATATATCAGTTTGTTTCTTCACTATTAAAATAAGAACCTAACAGTTACTTAACGCAGTTCATTTAATTATATATTTAATACACGAGAGTAACCGCTAAAGCTTCATCTCTACTTTGATGGAGAGCACTTTGAGAATAGGAATACAAAGGTATTTTATTCTTTTCCATACCACAACCTCTAGAACTAGAGAGCTAGATTAATTAAAACTACATTGTAACAACATACAATACAATTTTCGGAAAACATTACGTTATTATGCATGGTAAGGGAAACTAATTAGAGTCGCTGTGATTTTATATTTAAAAGACATGGTAGACTGATTATTTTCGTTGGTCTAATGCGTCAAAATAAGTGCTACTTAGATAGAAGCTCTTTGGAATAATTTTTGTCTGATTTATAAGTTCATCTTATAAAGTTTAGCTATACCGTTATTAGGAAGTTATCGTTATTATTATTATTATTAGTCCAAACGGCAATTTGCCCAGAAGGGCTATTAATTTCGTATTGGCATTTTGCATCGGTATAAATCTCGGTTCACTTTTGACATTTTTGCAACCAAATATTAAAGTCCTGCATTATATTTAAAGAAATTAAATAATGAAGGATCTGCATGAATGTATGTTTCTCGCACTGTGAAAAATAGCGGTTCCTAGAGACATCAGATTTTGAATATAGTTCCCCATTCGAATATGGGCATCTGGAAGTCCAAATTTGGAATTTGTTTTATTATCTATTTCATATTCTGTCAAACACTAAAGAATTTTTGATTAACAAACACAACGATTTCAAACCGAGTAATGGCAACACTGTACGGGAAAAAATTATCTCCAGTACGCGAGACTGTGTATCAGAAATTCTAAAGATATGTTATTTTAAATATTTTGTGATATAGCTGTTAAATAGAATTTTATGGTTTATGTGTGAAGAACATGATATTTAATACTTTAACACACAAAACTTTATAAAACGCCCCTTTGGGCGTAACATAAAATCGGAAAGCTTTACAGTTTTTTTTTAAATTTTATTATTATTATTATTATTATTAACGGGCTCAGCCCCCAGTCCACTTAACCGGCGTAAGCCGGCCATATGACAAAAAGGAGGACCGGCCGATCCAACGAAAAGCAAGGGAGCCATCAACTCGGCTGCGTCCCCTCCCCCCCAAAAATGACCGAATACTTTATATCAAATCGCGATTAACAATATTATATATCAAAGTCTTTACGTCAAATCAAGAGAAAAATGCAAGATAGTTAAAAGTAATGACGGAAATGTAATAATTTCAAGGAGCCTGGCATCTCAATAATGGTAGGTAATTACGAAAAATACATGAATAAAGGGACATTAAAAACTTTGATAAATAATGGTTGAAGTTTGTACACTAAACTTTTAAGAAAAGCACGAAATTTGAAATGTTAAAATGTTAAAGAGAAAAAAGCCAAGAAGTACGGAGCTGATTTAATCTATAGCGTCTTTCTTGCTCTAATATTTAAAAAGCTATCGAGATATTTATGCAAGGTTTTATTATGATTTCAATTAGTGGGTAAAAATTTAAATTGTTCCATCCGGCCATTATCGATGAAATAAGCTTAATAAAAATATCAAGAGGCCAGTTACAAGTTAAAATGCTTTAAAAAGTCTTGAAATTAAGATGTAATAAATATAAAAAAAATTACGCGAACAATTTTATTCTTACCGTTGTACAGCGTTAGGCCATGTGCTTTTAAATTTTAAAAGCATAATGACTATCGCAATCTACTGGATTTAATAGATTAGGCAAAATACACTATCTGCTTTAGGAAAGGATATCTTTATGAAGGACTTACTAAGGCTCGTATTGTTGTGCTACATGACCACAAAAATTCGTAAACAATCAGCTCGTTCATCGAGATTTTAATCCAGGATCAAACAACCATTGCTTAGCGACATTAACCATTATTTCCCTGATGATTATCTTAGTAATAAAAGATTAAAACTCTGTTGTGTACAGCACATGACTTCCTTGTACGGAATATTAAATTGCACTAATTTTTTCCTGCATTTCATTTAAATTTATTTCCTCGAATTTCATTAGGGATACACTTCTCATTCAAATAGTTCACTTCTCACTTCGCGGCAAAGCAAAAATACATGAAACATCAAAATATCTTTACTAAAAATTGAGAAATATAGAAGAATATAAAACTCCAAATACAGCTAAAACAAATTAAAAAAAAAAATTTTTTTTTTTTACAGTTTCTACGCGAAAACAAGCAATTCGGCCAGCGGGCAACAAGGCTGATTTTCGGTGCAACAAAACGTTTACTTTTGGTCCCACTCCGCAAAAGTACAGAAACTGACTTAACTCACTATCATACTAAGTTTCAAATGTAAAAAAAATATGGCTACAATGCTAAATATATTAAGCTTAGCTGCACTTAAACAACTTTTAAACTGTTAATGATGCTACAACTATAAGGTATTCTCCCAGCCTTCCTAGTGTGCCTGTGGTTCTGCACGCTGGGACGGTATTCCAGAGGTCCGTGGTTCGACTGCTGGCGAAAGGGTTGCTAATTTTTCAGTCGCTCTTTAAAAAATTCTAATGTCTCTACAGTGGCGCCCGAACTAAAATGGTGTTGGATGATGATTCTCCTCACCCAGGATTTGGCGATTGGGTCCCCTAAAAATCCAGTCTCCCTTTAAAAAGGGGAGTATATAAGGTATTTCTCCTGCCTTCCCAGCGTCACTTCGTGGTGTAGTGGTTCTGCTCGCTGGACCGAGATCCGTGGTTCGATTCCCGGCTAAGGCGTTGCTAATTTTTCAATCTTCTCTTGCTTTCATTCTCTCTTGCTCTTCTTCTTTACTCAAGACATTAGGATTTTCAGAAAAAAAAATCCTAATATCTCTACACAACTATTGCATGCAGATTAACTAAAGGCATAAAAGCCTTAACTGGAAGATAAGAAAAACATATTTTGTAATTATTTATATTTATTATATTTTTAACATTTATTGTATTTATATTTTTAACATAATTTGTAAAAACAAAAATGCACAATTTACAATCATATAAGAATAAAGAAACTAAGCTCACTGAGCCGAGGAAGAAAGTGGATATATATATATATACAAAATATTTATATACTTTTGGTGCTGCTGATTGCAACTAAAAAGGGAGGTGCAGATCTACATTTATAGAAGTCAAACATACAAAATTTCAACGTTCTGAGGCTAATCATTTTGGAGTTATGCAAGATACATACATACTCACATCATACGTACTCACAGATACATACGTACTCACAGACGCCACCAAAAATTATCTTCTGAATCCATTTTAATTCAGTTTTATAATCCGTTTGGGGAAAAATAGTCCTTTATTTTGTTCTTACGTACAGAAGTCACGCAAAAACATCGTGAAATTGCATT